TTTAGATTTTGCAGTTACTACATCAATATAAGCTAAAGATGCTAAAAAAATTATATAATAAATAAAAATTCAATCTTAAAAATTAATTATCCGTATAAGAATACTTTGTATATAGAGGATGAAGTACCATTTAAGATAAAGCAGATTAGGAAATTCGTTTTCAAATATACAGGCATGAGCTATCCTTAATCAGTAGGCCAGGGATAAGACCTTCCATTATTCTCTGTCGACGCTTCTAGTAATAGGTTATGGTTTAAGTTAATAACTTCATTATTGGAGGATAGCGACGTTTTCCGGTTCTCATTCGGAAGATCTAATAGAACCGCTTTCCAGTGGCCTATAATATACATCTTTTGTTAGTCATTATTGAAATATATTAATTTCATAATTTCGTTTAAAATAAAGATTTCTAATAAAGTAGATATAAGATAGAAAAATCTATTAATATGTTTTTGTCAAATTTTTTTCTGATAGTTACAAGACTCAAAGGATCAGGCCTACGCTATTTTTTGTTTTTCTTCTCTCTTCATTTTTTATCTTAACTTAGCTATATATAATTTCGAACTGAGAATTTCACATTGATCCAATTATAGAAAGCTAATTTTGTTTATTATAAAGTCCGTTTAAACGCTTAAATTTATCGGTTAGATAATCTAGGCCTTCTTTATTATTCCGGTTTGATCACGGTTTAATTAAATTTAAACCACTTATCATTCTTTATCCCAATTAAGTTATTGGATTCTGCTGAAACTCATTGAAAATGCCAAATTATAATGTTCGTTTTAATAGTTTTTACGTTTCATTTCTAGAAGTGAATATTAAATTAGATTTAATCACAATACACTTATCTAAATTTAATTTAGTTATAATCTAAATAAAATTTTCTGAATATAAATTTAGAAATCAACACATATTTACTGATGAAAGCTACCACTACGCATTTATCTCTCTAATTGTGACATAGATTAAATAATTTAACAATATTTTTATAATAATATTAATTCATCGACTATAAATCAATTTTCGCAAAATCATAAAACAAATCTACTAAAATTTTAAGAAAATGTTTCGAGATGCGGATCTATCAGGTGAAGATCTAACAGAATGACCGGGACGGGCAGACACGTGCTGGACTTTTGTATAGCTGTCCATCATCTATCACTAGACCTTCAGACTTGGGAAACTCGGCACCAGTCTGGTCCCCCGTGCGGGAGTTTGGGGTTTATTGCCATATTTATCTGTCCCTCTGACTCACATTGCTCACTTCTCAATAAGACACACGGCAGGAAGTGCAACTGCAGCACGTCAACGCAACCCTAGGTGGCAGCCACCATACGCAATAACACTACCTATATTTATCACGTGTGCACGTCACTTTCAATCAAAAGTTAATATTTTTCGGTCCTGGATGTGTGCTTGCATGGGGGCCAAGTGGGCCTCTAATTAGTTTGCCGGGAACCTCCGACATTACCATCCCCTATCAGACTGCCCCTTTGTAATCTCGGTCTTCATACACGAGGGACTAGGTTTATAATCTCTTAAAATCCTTATCGAAGGATTCCTAAAGGAATGTTTAGATTCTAGGATTCTTGTTATGTGGAGTAAAACTTATTTTCGTTCAATTATCTCGGATTGAGTGAAAAGGTATTGAATGTCTCAACGACGCATTTACGTAGTGATAATATACATATTAGAAATTATAGATAAAACATTGTCATAATGTCATATTCAATTGATAAAACAGCACATTAAATACTACTTAGTTTATCTAAAGTACTGTCAGTTTTATTAAGATGGACCACAAGAAAATAACAATTTCAACAAGAAATTATTTACTGCTTATCTAATCCATATTTCACTCAACATATTTATCTAGACAATTTAAAGCAAACGAAATTAACCACAGTAATATNTACCATATGATAGTACAGTACAGTACATGCCGAAAAATTATTATTCTTTCCATAAATTTTTTATAAATTAACTATTTTATGTTTTAAAATAGTAATCTTACGTAATCTAGTCAATCTCAAACTAAGCATGTTCATTTGCTAACGTTTAACTGGATAAAATGAAATTCATTGCAAGTTGGATGAATCTTATTGTACCGAAAAGTAGCAATTGGAGGCTGTTAGTAGTGAAAATTTGTCATAAGCCTATCGAGTATTATGTTTATTTGTGTAATCATTTTCTAAATGGAATTACTATTATAATACTATCTGTGCTTTTGAAGTACAAAAGGATATAATTAATGTGAGATATAGCTTTATACTAGGCCTACACAAACCTCATTTGCAACAATGGATATAATGTAGACTAATCTGTAAGTTCACGTCATATTTAGCTTCAATAACACAAAGTTTTAATTAATTAATGAAAGTTTAACATAACTAGTATAAAGGAATAATGTGTAATCTGTTAGTAATATATTTTAATCGATTTTGGTTAAGGTTCAGCATACGATTTATAATTAAGAATTTCCAATTAAAAAGTAAAATTTATATAAAAATCGATTTTATTTTGAAAATTTTAGTTTTTAAACCATAACAGTCTATTTTTTAAAGTATTTATTTTATTATACGTTGGTGTAAATATAACATTTATTACTATATACGATATCCAAAGTAATAAAAATCTCAATAGATTACTTTTGATTCAGAACGTTGCAAGCCAGAACACTTCTTCGGACTATTTAGTTTAGAAAATTTCCAAAGAACTGATGGTAATTTTTTTATATTTAAATATATAAAAAACACTACAAAAATTACTAGGCCTATAAAGTTTACATCTGCATGATATAATTTACAAGTTTAAAATATTCAGATAACTTTTTCCGAATTTAGAAATACAAAGGTTTGTTCTTAGATTAACTTAAAATGTAATATAAATTAAAGACTTTAATGGTTATTTTGTATAAGGATAAAATTATGCGAACTTGTAGAACGGAAATTGTTATAATTATTATTGAAAATACTAAGATTTGATGGTATTAGTTGGACAATATATTAATTATTCCTTGTATAATTTTCAGAAAGAATGTTTTTCAAATGAACAGAAAAAGAATAAATATATCGAATCGAATTTTTTATAGCTTTGTACATTAAATAGTTGCACTTTTCCTATTTCTAAACTAAATCACTATAGTTTTGTGTCTATAGATTAAAACTATAGTTGTACAGAAAAATTCATTTCTTACGCATCAGTTAGCTATTCATGTTAAAGACTCGTGTTAAAGAGAAACGAGTCTTCTGAATAGACCAATGTATATAGAAAGAGATTTGAACTGGTATTACTTGTTGAAATATTCGAATTTTTTTCTTTGCATTTCATTTCAGTTTGGATTGGTGTTAAGTTGCGTGGAACATGAACTAAGATTTCCAGATTTGTATCAAAATATTCCGGTGGTTAGAATGAGAGGCCAGTAAGCCGCTAAATGTCGATTTAAATCCCACCGAAATAGTGATCAATATTTTCTGTTAGGTTGTTAAGAAGTCTTTCTTGACTGCCAGAATCCTGCATGGCGTAGCTAATTCTGTGAGACGACTTGGGGCTAAGTCGAATTGTAACAAGCCTGGAAGAGACTTCCAACATATTTGAATTCAACGCAGCAGAAAATGTCTGCTTTTCGATAGCCGTAGCCCATTTATTATCATCAAAATGAAAAAAGTAGAAAAAAAGAAATTAATCCATCTAGAACTTGCCTTTTTACTATCAATAATTACATGTTCTTTTCAAGTTGTAAAATACAATTGAAATATTATTTTACAATTTTACAACTGTAGTTTTTCAAATATGTAATTATTTAAATGTTTATACTAAAAGCAAGTAAATCAATTGAAGTAATTAAAAGTTATTAAATGCATAATTATAACATAAAATTGTTCCAAGTTTTCGTATCATCCTTCGACAAATTTTAGAAAATCTCTACCATAATTTCGTAACTTTATAACCAAACATAAATAGATAAACATGAGATTACTCTACATTATGATCATACTGGAATCCGAATCAAATTTACAAATCCTAAATTAGGTTTTATCATAAACTTGTTCAAATGAAGGTGCCATAATGATTCAAATAAATGTGCTTCATAAGGAATAAGTTTGTCTCTCAACATTTATCCACATGGAAGAGGATCTATGTTGATGTATCCCTAAGCACTAAGTAAATGGTCCTCCAGTGGGAAGAGGCGGTCAAAGGCTAATGAACAACATAGACATGTGACCTGTAACCGGTCACCACCATGCCCACTACAATTACCCAGTCAATTTGGTGAGTGAACATTTAGCAACGTTTAGGTACCATTTTGCTATTTAAAGATAGATTGCTCTTGCTCTATTTTAGAGAAGAGTGCCTCTTATAATATTAACCGATATCTGAAAGTATTAATTTCTGCGCTTTAATGTAAACTATATAATGTTACAGATTTGTAAAATTGAAAATGCTGGGCTTAAAAACCCATTAAAATTAAGTTATATTAAACAATACAATTAAGTAAGTGAATAAAATTATGATTTACAAATTTAGAAAATCTTATTTGCATTTTAATTTTGTTTTAATTTATAAACAAATTTTAATTAACACAGTCTTGATTCTAAATAAGTCTGAAGTCCTATTTACTATTGAACATAATTATTAATTAATAATTTAACGGATTTGATTTTAACTACAATATTTTTATATTGTAATTAGAAACTTTATAATTAATAAATTGTGAAATGTACAGTTTTAGGCCTACATACACGTATTTAAGCCTAACTAAGCTTACACATTGTAGTCACGCTTATATTAATATAATTGAACTAATAGATCTGTACGTTATATTATCGAATTTAAGTTAACAAATACAGTGAATTGAAAGCTTTTATTAATCAAAACAAAGTAGTGTTAGATGAAACGTACGGATTTGAAGTAAGAAAAGAGGACTTAATTGACTATCGACTTTCAACTGAAATTCAAATGTTTAATTGAAAAGCCTGATAACTCGCTCTTTTCCACAGACTCCAGCTCAGCAGGAGATAAGCAGAGCCATCACGGAGCAGACAGTCCCGATAATTCTGGGGAGGATGATCCAAAGAAGAAAAAGCGGCAAAGGAGACAAAGGACACATTTCACAAGTCAACAGTTACAAGAATTAGAAGCTACATTCGCTAGAAATCGCTATCCCGATATGTCTACTCGTGAAGAAATAGCCATGTGGACAAATCTAACAGAAGCAAGAGTCAGGGTAAGTTTCGAAAATTATTCTCTCTTATAATGATACATAATTACAGTATATTTAATGTATTGGATTAGTGAACTTATCAAACATATTCAGTAACTTTAGGTTCCGTACAAAATTGTTGTTTCATAAATGCACTTACAATATCTTTTAGAATGCACTGTACAAGCGTTATAAAGACTATAAAGACTAGTCCTACTATTACTGAACAAAACCATTTTGGAAACAGGGAATAGGAGTTTCATTCAGTAGAATGGAGAAAAACGCACGGAGGGCATCTGTCAAGTTTGATTACTCTACCAATTTCGCAAGGAGTAACAGCTAATTTACCGCATGTTAGGATAGTTCGGTCTCTTTCCGGAAGTCTAGACTGTTTTCTACTAGTACTAACCTTATAATAATATAAATATTACAGATTACTACAGACATTAAATTCGAATATTTCACTTAATAGCTTACTATTTTCGATAGATTTAATAGAAAATATCTTAGTATGTATTGTAGAATAAACTAAACTATAGAATGAAAGCTATTATTTTATTCATAAGACTTTTATATAATAATTTTCATTAATGCAGAATAAAAATTAAACAAGAAAATAATTCATCTTATAAATAAACAAGAAGATAAAATCAAAAATTAAAAAACACTATTATCATCATTTTTTTAAAATTGATATTAATAAATTTCTTACGTTTAAATAAAGAATATCGCAAAACTAAGTTCTCATTCTTGCATTTTCGACTGAACAATGTCATTACATTTATTACACGTCTATTGCATTAAATATTCAAAATGTAGTTAATTTATCGTAAGCTAAAGATAAATCTGCAGGCAAGATCAGATCGAAGAAATGCCTTGATGAGAACAATTACAAAGGTTAGAATATATATAATTGTTTTTAAAATAGCTGTTTTATAGTTCTGTTTAGTAACAGAAAGGCATCATTTAAGCCTTCGTGTAGTAAATTATAACAATTATTAATATCAATGTTATTTAGAAACAATTTTATTCAAATTTATAATCGGCTATTTAATTAATCTCTCTAAACCGTAAAGGCCTAAGTCTTGAATTTAAACTGTTTTGTCTATAATTTATCTGATACTGTATCAAATTAGAATTTTGCATTAATAAGCTACTTAAAGAAGAATTATATCTATAATTATAATAAAAAGTGAAATTATCCTGCACAAATCTTTTGTTTTCCCCTCCTTTTTCTTTTTTGTTGCATACAAACATTTATTCTTTCTTAAAATGGGTTTTTCTCCAACAAATCTTTCTGCTACAAGTCTGAACTTATTGGTATTCAGTAGAAGCTAGGTCGAATACAAAACGAAATTCTTGTGTAGCATTATTCTCTTTGGCGTTGTTGCCGTTTCGATTCGCATTGCATCCGACATATCTCAAGCAGTCCACCTATCAGAAAAACTCTCTGGGCGTGGCGGAGGATGTTCTGCAGGCGGAGCATTCTACCAAACAGGGCAATGACTGTCAACTCCGAGACAAACAGGTCGTCGCTGTAGACGATATAAACGCGTAACGATCGCTGTACTTGATGAGGCTGCTTGCATTTCCTTCTCTCCTTTGTTCCGATCTTGTTAAGGTTATTCTACAAATATAGCTTCACATCGTTTCGCATTTCGAATTAAAGTATACTAGCAACCAATCTGTTTTTCCCTATTTCCAGAGAGTTTAACAGGAAAGCATATTTTTCTCCTACAAAATAAATGTTTCGCGTCTCGAATGAAGGCAATTCTCTAAGGACAAAGTTTTCTATTATTACGCAGACATGTCGTAATAGGAATTGAAATTTAGTCTCCTTTATACATCCGCAGTTTGGTCGAGATCACACTCTTGGGAAATGCGGTCTGTTACAAAATGATAATGAAAAAAGGTCGCTATATACGGCCTTCAATGATCTGCAAAGTCTCTTTGGGAGACCTTATTTTACTTTGTATTTAGTCTACAGGTTGCGATATGAACAGGAAAAAAAAGTCACTAAGTATTATTAAAATATGTAATCTACACTTGATTTGTGTGTTCTTAGTTTTTTCTCTTATATTCTCTAATATTCTAAGTAATACGATAAATTAGTAGACTAATTATTCATTAAATGAACGTAATTTATTCTAGATTTAATAGCCTTATGTTGAATTTAACACAATTAAGAAAATGAAACCAACCGAATTTAATGAAACGTTGGATTTTAAAAGTTTCATTTATACTTTATTTTACAGATCGCTCTGTAAATCATAACCGTATCGCCAAACATTTATAGGCAGTAGGCTATATATATTTTCTTTCCGGGCCTATTCAATTCCGCCAATTCTCTCGAATATATTAGACCTATAAAAGAGAAAAGTCACCATATCGTAACAAACATTCAAAACACTATTCACAAGTGATTGCTCCTACACCTACATAGGTTGGTTACTGTTAAAAGTAAGTTCGTCGTTAAAACGAAGCAGAAATGGTAAGTTACCGATTTTCTAGTATCATATATGAGATTGGTGACATGTATGTAAAGATGCAGCCGTAAACTTGTGTCATCTACAAAATGACGTGTCGACGTAGTCAACATTTACCATGTATCATCAACAGTAGCCACGGGGGGATGTCATCAGAGCGTATCCGATGGCTACAGGACGTTAGGTGAGGCTGGCATATGACGCCATATTTCTCTGGGGAGAAGTTTTCCCGCTTCCAAACGGTAGAAACTGTATTGGTGGAAGGAATAGGAATTATCCACGGGTTTCTATCCATCCTACTATACCCAGAAACTTTTTAACGCGCTCTTTTTTTATACCACATGTTCCTAAAAGATAACCCCGAAAACATTATTTTAAAAAACAAAATATACTAACAAATATATAATCGCACAAATAACACAATGCATTAAGCGCTTAATTAATAGGACACGATTATCACGACAAGATTCAAATCCATGGAATTTTATCTTTTGTATCTATTTTCCTATTTGGTGTCGGGTTTCATCGCGATGTAAAAAAAGATCCGATTTACTGATGAATTAGGCAACATTGGTAATAGAGTAACCTTGAAATTTGTATTTGAAACGAAGCACAACTAATTAAGTCGTCTTGTTAAGGTCAGAACGGCTTAAATCCAGTTTTGAAGATAAGGAAGACGGCGATTGGTACAGCGACTGAGAGTCAGTGGTGATGTTAACCCCGAGATTAGAACTCAATCCTCCGGACAATTTGTTTTACAGTCACACTCGGTGACGTTGTTAATTAATGAAGGTTTTTTCGTTTCTCGACACATACTTGATTTACGAAGTTATAGCGTACGAAATACGAGAAGGCTTCTTCCATTTTGCCGGCACTTTCTAATAGTTAAAGAGCGCTTTAAGGAAAATAAATATTAATACCTAAACACGCGTTTGTTTAATATAATAGATCCAGCTTTGGTTAATTAACTGTGTAGATTAAGGTACAAATTTTAAATCCGGGAGTCTTAAGGTTAATCCTTTTGTTTAATTTACATCTTATTTAGTTTTTTCTCTTCGACTAATTTGCGCTTAAAATTTCTTTTGCTAATATATTTTGTAACCTATTTTTATATTGGATTATGTTCTCAAAATTAAATTGTATGATTTGTAAAAGAGATCTCTCTTCTCGTAGGTCTTAGGCCACGTCGATGGATTGAAGATATTTTAAGTATCTGCATTTATTACAAATTAGATATTTCTTTTGAAAGAAAATAAAGATTAAATCCATTAAAATTGAAAACGAATGACAGAAAATTGAAATGGAAATAGGCTCGGATGCGCCGCATTCTCGATCTTAGTACGAAGCTCATTGTGCTTTCATTCACAGCAGGAGGGAAGATTAAATGAAAATCTAACATAGAAACAATTTTTCGACCTTAGAGAAGGTCGTCGTATAACAAATGCGGACAGAATAGACCGTCTTTGAATCTCGATTCCGCGGCATTACGTTTAATCTCGCTACTTAGGTAGCTTGTTTGTCATCTCCTTCACACTTCTAGAAGCAACATTTCACTTTATCAATCTGTTATTTACAGTTATTGATAGGGGATCCTTACATCTAATCTGCTAAGCCTTTAAATAGATGCCGACTAGCATTTGTATAGAATAGTTGTATAGAGCATGCCTTCTCCGGTAATTAACTTATTTGCATGACGAAGATTCGGGTATACACATAACCAATTTGCTATTCATATTGCTTAACCTCTTACCGACTCGTTATTCTGAAAAGACACAATACGGCATTTATAAGCATGCAAGTTTTGTAGATTTTGCTAGAGATGAGACGAAGCAGCATTCGTAAATTGGAAAAGACGATATTTTTATTCATTTTATAAATCCTTTCTCACACTATAGCTTTATCTTATAAAAATTTTCATCACACTTTCTTTCTCATAATGCTTCCAAAATACAAAATTTTCTTTCCTGTTTCAAATCATTTTACAATTCTATTACGTTTGCATCATTTTCCCTCTTCATAAGCTTTTTACATACGGAAATAAGAAAATCGACTGAAATCTTCTTATAGTTGAGAAATTATCCAATTCGATCGATGTAAATTTTAATAATACATCAATAATATTACGTCATTAAACGCGTTTAATTATCTACCTTGTATTACGTAAAAAATATAAATAAACGGAGAAAAGTTTACTATGTACAGCTTGTAAGCACGACAATTTAAAATTTAAAACTTAAAATTCATACTTACAAACCCGGAAAATTCAATAAAACAATTTTTATTGATTAAATTCAAAACAGATTTCAGAGATTACTGAGTCTTTAACTTATATTTAATTAATAACCCACATAGAAAAATTTGTAGAATCAATAGACCTGTAAATATTTGAAATTTTATATCTGTGAAATAATCTTACAGAATATAAATTACTTTATTTTTTTAAACTAAACTGTAAATTAATCTGTATACGTAACAAATTATTAAAATTATAAATTATTCTATCAATAATTTTGAGAAACCAGCACCACGAAAGGGTAC